CACCCGCTCCCTTCGCCGCTCACCTTTCCCCCGCCCCCTCTTCTTCTACTTGCAACACGGGAGGGCGCAGGTACGTCGGAACTCTTGCCTTTGGCCCCCCGCCCAAGACGGCGCCAGCCCCCGCTTCCCGCTCAAGCCAGCCGCGGTCAGGGGGGTTGCAGAGCTGCGGACGCCTGGCTTGCCGCCTTCCGGGTCCCAAAGCCCATTCCCGTTCCTCAGGGCTGTTCGCCAGGTCCACAGAGCCGCGGCTTGGCCCAGGCGTCTGGGAGTTGTAGTCTCCTCCTTTGCGCTCTCACGCTACTCGAAGGGGCGCTCTGAAGCCTCGGGAAACTACCCGTCCCAGAATGCAACGGAGAGGACAAGGAGGACCTTTCCATTTTCCACCTTGGCGCCCCACATGTTTGCCTAAAATATTACCCTGTTCTAAGCAGGGAAATCTCTTTATCTGTGCGGCCGAGGCGCGATTTGAAAAAACGCCACAGAAGTCTGATAGAAGAGGAACGAGATTGCGAGCCCGTTCCATACCGGTTCCGAGGAGATTAATTCGAACGCTTCTATCGGGCCGTAGAATGGGCAGCTAAGTATTTGTGAGGTTCTTCTACCCGTGTACATTGTTCATTGGCGAAAAGAAGAAGAAGGGGAGGGGCTTAGTCGAGGTGAGAAAGGAGAGTGGGCGTGGTTAGGAGAATAGTGCGGGAAGATGTGGGGGTGGAGCTAAGAAGGAGTTGCAGAGAAAATAGACTCAATGCAGTAGTTGTAGTTGCAAAACTAGAATGGGCGGTTTGGGGTTCAGTGTGTTGTGAAAAAGCCGGCCGTTGTTTTAATACGTTATGTGAACCAGGGTATTACGTTATTCCATCATATGATTTTATTTGGCTTAGCATTTATCCTGGGTGGAAGACAGTAGTTAATCTAGAATGCAAAGTGCTTTTAAGAATAACCCGGAAAGTTTTGAGTTTATAACTGCTTTTAATTCCTCCACTCACACCATGATTGTGTTTCCTTGTATACTTCACTTGGGTGCTGAGCTTATCCAGTTCTGCGTTTGCATAAGAGCCTGGATCATAATCGGATGGATCTGTGGACCATTGCAAGTTACACACCCGTACAAAAGTTGTAACCATGTTTAAAAGAGATTTTGGGTGACTGACCCAGTGACGCTTTCTCAGCCCAACCCACCTCAAAGGGCTGTTGTTGTGGGGAAAATAGGCAGGAGAAAGTGGGATAAAAATATAATAATTACAATATGGTGCAAATACAACTGGAGATTTGACTCACATAAATTGTTTTGCGTCATTTGCTTTAAAGGTCCTTTTTGTAGATGGATAGGTCTCTGTTTAGTCGTGCTTACTTACTCTGTTGCCTGATAACTTTCTAAAAGTAAGGTTTCCAACAGTAAGCACATGTTGTATTTAAAAAAACATATGCACATAATGTTAAGGACCTGTTTTGTATGCCTTAAGGCAACAGACTTAAATTTTCAGGAAGGGAAGCCAGGAAGGGAAGCTGTATTATTCAGCTGCAGCCAAACCAACAGACAGTGTCAAGGCATTAACGATTGTGGGCTATGGATGCAAAAGCTATTGAAATGATAACATTTAAGAGGTGGAATTCTAAAAGATGTTCATCTTCATAGCATAATACAGCATAAATAACTGTAGCAGGAGTCAATAACTTGGGTCCCGGAATCACGTGCTACTTCCAAACCATTTTTTAGACTCTAGAGACTTTTTCGTTTGTATTTCTATATGCTGTGGAGGTGTGAGGATCCAAAACGGGCAGACAAAATGATTTCTTGCCATTTTGAGGTAGAAGGTAAACAAAAATTATAACACGCTCCCTAAAAATAAAAGATCCAGAACATTACTGTAACAGGGAAACCTTCCCACTTTTGTGATATTATTTGACTGATTGATTGATTATGTGCCATCAAGTTGATGTTGACTCTTGGTGACTACACTGATTCTCCACGATGACCTGTCCCTAATCTGGTCCTTCAGGTTTTCCAGTGGTGCACCCATTGCCACCATTGGGGGAGATGGGTGGCATACAAATTTGAAAATAAATAAATAAGTAAAATAAAATAACTGAGTCCATCCATCTTGCTGCTGGTCATCCTCTTCTTCTCCTTCCTTCCACCTTTCCCAGCATTAGCGCCTTCTCCATAGAGCTGGGTCTTCACATCATGTGTCCACATAACAGTAGCATGTTGAGTGCCATCTGACCTGACAGGCCCATCATCTGGCATTGTATCATCAGTCATTTTATATTTTCTATCCATGTGGTTTTCATCTGCCTGCAGCATCTTCTTATATCACTGCTGCCTAATATAGGTGCCTGCTTGCTTTAACCAGGCAGCTGGGACAACCTTCACACCTTAGGTGACTCTGCTGGAAATGTATTTATTTATATTTATTTATATTTCAAATTTAGATACCGCCCATCTCACGAAAAAATGACTCTGGGCAGTTCACAATAAAACAAT